AAAAAAAAAAAAAAAAAAAAAAAAAAAAAAGTATTTCTAAAAGGCCTCTGGCATCATTCAAATAGCAATGTAGCCTTATTTACCAGTATGTTCAAAGAAGTCTCCCATTTCCTCTGCTTCTAAAGCATTGAGGAATATCATGTTTCTCCACCATTTTTCAGCCAATTGCTTGAGACCTTGTCTCTCTGGGCAAGGAAGAAAGGCCAAGATTCTCTTCAAAATCTGACAACTCTGCCTCCTAATGAACCAAAAACACTGTTGAACTTGCATAGTTGAATGCATCATCTCTACAAAAGCCTGTGTCAACATGGCAGATTGCAGTGTAGACTTTCCCCCCAGGCAAGGTAATTGAACAACTTTCTGCACTGACCCGATAAACTAAAATGCTAAGCCACCAGGTTGGCTGCTTTCAAAACTTTCAGCTTTAGCAAGAAAGATCTGAAGTCACTACTAATGTGAGCGTGTTTCCCAGAAACTTGTAGAGCTACATTTGCTTATTCCAGTTGCAATTTCATCCCAGTTTTTACTACTGGTGAAGAAATGTACCCCATTGTTTTTAAATTCCTATAAACTGAAAAATTAGAGCTTACCTGTAATGTCAAGTAAAATATAAATGTCTCATCAGCCTCTGGCAGGTCATCATCACAGACTGATATATACACGGTTCTATTTGTTTCTGTATCAGGTATATATGCTGCTGCGTAAGTATCAAAAAAATCACCTGTGTCTTCTCCGTCAACCTAAAATAAAAAACACACAAAAAACTTTGCATCTCTTTTCCTCCTCCTTGCTTTGATTTTCTTCTGACTTTGTTTCGTGTATTATATGTGATGCTTTCATTATATTATTCCTCCCTCAAAGAATTACTGGATAGATGCCACAGATCAACAATGGGGTAACCAATTTTCACTACCTGTTCTGAGATACCAGGTATCATTTCATTCCAGGGCCTTCATCCATTCCAGCAGGTGACTATCTGGTGCACAGAGAGTCTGCTGTATTTTTAAATGGGAACTAGCACACCACATGGTGGCCCAATGTCTGCATTGTGCTTATAAGTGCAGAACTAGCCCTTCTAACTCTACCTCTGTCCCAACTGTACAGTTGATCCAATAAAAGATAGCCCCCTAAGAAATCCTTACTTATTTTTGTATGTTTATAACAGACAACATTCTCAAATTTTATTGCCTAACATAAATTGTCAAAAAGGGTTGAATGTTTTCAGTTCCCACTGAAAATTTCAGCTAGAACATTTTTGCAGTTATCGAAACCAATACTAGAAAGCTCCAAAACCCCCAATATGGGCAGGCTATTCACATCTTCCTATAAGACTTGTTCAAACATTTTCATATTTCTGACACATCAAGATCTCTTTTTTGTTGCTTTTTTTTTAAGCCACTTTACAGAGATTTTCAGATTTTCCAAAAGTTCACAAACTGTTTGCATTTTCCATATGATCCACAATGTACTACTTACATCCATTACAATACTCTTCTTGATTCTTAATGCATATTTAAGTTTAGCCACAAATATGCATTTTCATATCACAATCCTTGCACATGCCAAATTAAGCCCATTAATCATTTTTGACATTCTTACAGTAGTTATTCCTTCTCTTCAACATCTTACCTTAAATGCAGCAGTCAAAACAAAGCAATTATGTAGTATTTGCCAATATGCAAAACTGTTTTAATTTTCTATCGCTTCATTTTCTGTTTATACTCCTAGCTGTTTTCCATTTGTTTTCACCAAGGGAATGAGGCAGTAATGGCATGAAAAGCTTTTATCTAATTTACTGGGAATGATAGGGTTTTCACCAAACTTTTCCTCCTTTAATTTCCATTTTATCCTCTCTGCAGAACAAAACCCACTGAAGAAAGTTCTGGATGCCAGATTCCAATCTCTTCTCTGTAGCCACAATGTTGTTTTTCAGATCAACCAAAATAGCTACAGAAAGTAACAATAACAATCTTAAAGTATAACCTTTATGGGAAACAATGTGAAAATATCCATAATAAAAAAAGTTTCTATTTTGTACCAACCAAGTACCAGTTCCAAAGATAATCATGCCAGGTTTTATACCCAGTTACTAACCAAACTTATTGTCTTCTTACACAGTAATTTCTAACCCTTCCAAATGGTGTGCCCTTGCTGCCATATGAGTACTGGATAATACCATATTTAGTGATAACATGCTCAAAAAATAGGACTTCTCTCTGGATCCATAGCTTACAGCAACTCAAAAGAAAGTTAGCAGACTATAATCACTGCACACATTTTCCCTTGCACGGTTCCAATTCTGCATTCTTACTCGTATTGAGTAGCACCTTATTCCACAAGACTGCACAAAATATTGTACTCCTAAATGTGAGTAAGGAAAGTAGAGTCAAGGCCATGGTTACCAATAGCTAAAAAAATTAAGAAAATGATGTGGACCTAAGCTTAATTTTTCAGAGTTTACCGTCATGGCACCTAAATAGCAGGGGTCTTATAAAATTAGGTATTCCACTTGCCTTTAAAAAAAGGATACAAACCCCTTCTCTGTTTCCTTATCTGTCATTTTTTTGAAGTAACATTGTCACCTGCTCTAAAATAATACATTCATGGAAGAGACACAGTTGTTCTCTCTCTGTCTGTAAAAGCTATGAATGGAAGAATACATCTTTTATCCATCTGCACTTCAAGAGTGAAAACAACTAGAAACCAAATTATACACTCTCTGGAGAAGCAGCTGGTTCAGCAAGTCATTGGTAGGCTGGAAATATCTCTCTACATTGACACAGCCAATAAAAATTTACCCATCTATAGGAACTAAGGATTTCTAGCTCGGGGGTTCCTTGTTCCAATGTGTCCCAAATATCATCTGTACACCCCATTTTTTGACTTGGTATAACAAGGAAACACACCAACACAATTCAAGGATCATGAAGACAGTGATATTTCATGAGAGTGAAACTTGTACAGTTTCTTACCGATACAATTGCTGTGACGTTGGCTGGCTCTCCTGTCCTCTCAATAACCAGACGTATAACTGTTGTACTTGTTTCATTAACTACAAATTCCGTTTGTCCACCAAACCTTACTTCTGTTTCTCCCGATGTAAAACTGATGAGTGATGCTAAAAGAAGATTAACTAATAAAGAAGCAGAGGGCATCCCTACAAAAAAAAAAAGTTGAAGAATGACAGAAGTTAATGTGTTTAAAATAGAGGGAACACCTTCTATTGTTCTATTGAATACTGATTTGAGGAAACATCTCAACATATCCTGCTCAATGCTTTTTTGGTATAATATATTTTTACCTCGCTGGATGAAAATTTATATAAATCGTAAGGACTATATTTTCAAGAAGCCTCATATAATTCCTGAATAAAAAAGGTTCTGTACAGGCTTAACGCTGTTTCGCTTAGCACTGTTTCGTTATAACACTCATTTTTAATTGATACCTGATTTCACTTAGCGCTCAGCAAGTTTCGTTATAACTCTTGCGGTTGCCGCCTTGGGGCATTAAAACACTTACTCACCATCTTGGGTCATCAAAACCTTTCCGTTTCACTTAAAGTTAGTTTCACTTAAAGCTCAGTTTTTCAGAAACCAATTAAGAGTGCTAAGCGAGGAGTGCCTGTACTCATATTGAAGCTGTCCATTGAGTGCTCGATTCTGACCAGTTACTGACAGCTGTTTGATTCAGTTCTGAAGTACATTGATTTGTGCCTGAGTAAGGAATGATTAGGGACCACAGGACCAAGTCCAGAACAGTTACAAGCTTTAAGTCTGTGCAAACTGGATGATCATTTTCTTCAACTGGTATAGACTTAATAAGTGTCTAACAATTTAGGCATAGAGGTAATGCTGTTTGCTGAAAGATGAGGGTAAAGTTTTAAAGTATAGTCAAACATTTAATATATGTACATATAATTGCAAACTTATGGTCACTAACAATTCCACATGCTGCTCTACGTGTCCTACTTTTCCTGTCAAGCAGTGCAGGTACATCCACACACACTACAGAAGGCAGGCTAATTTAATGCTGGTAAGTGTTACAATTAGCCTGCCTTCAGCACCATGCACATGCAATTACACTCCTTCCAGTCAGGGAAGGAGCACACACAGAACAATGTGACATATTTGAAGGCATTGCTCCAAGCATGTCAAGTGTTTGGTCTAGATATACCCTAAGGCAGGAGTGTCAAATGCACCCCAATCCCCAGGCTGGATACAAACCACAGGACTCCTCAGGTCAAATGTGTGGGAGCCAGTGGTGTGGGACAGGCAGTGGCTGCAGTAAGAAGTGGTAGATGGCAGACTGGAAGCGATGCAAGCAGCAGTGGCAGCAGGGCAAGTGGCCATGGAATAAGTACACCCCCC